GTTTTCTATTGTATAAAGTTATTTTGTTTAATGCATTTTTTTAATTGAATTGAATTGAAGTAATTGACGAAGTGAGAACAAGGAGGAGGAGCCTGCTGTCATATTTTTGAAAAGTGTAGAAAATGCACAACAACTAACCGTAACAAACCATAAACTTAACTTCTATTAGGCCAAGACATTCAATCCTTGAACTTACTACCTAAAATAAACCAGTAACCCTGATCCCTGATATTAACCATGGACCCCAACCGAAAGACCCAATGTGGTGCATCACTGGCACAAGTGGGTTACCTGACAGGTCAAAACCGGACAAAGAGGGAACCTGGACCAAGCGTCAATATGTGACAAGTTGGGAGTGAGGATGTGGTGACTATTCAAGCTGAGCTCCAAGGTCAAGGTGCATCACTTTCTGATCATCTGTCACATTTTGTATCATAATATAGTTCATAGAAGAAGACCCAGGAAAGTCTCCACTACTGACCGAAAAACACACAAAAGCCAGACAAGAATAAAAAAAATGTACTAAAGCAAGCCTCAAAGTTTCTGACTTTTTAGCTAGAGTCACATCAATTGTGTTTTTTTCTAAATATATATTGTTAAGGTACCAAGAGACGTATTTGCATGTATGTGTGAGTATCCTAAAAGCTGAAAACATAATATGTTATATGCAAGGAAATGTAAAATGGTACTATGTTGTTTTTATGCACTTCAAATTCACACAAAGTCATGCATTTATACTGTTGAGAGCCCAAAATACTCAGCTGCACAACTGCCGAGGCTGTGGCTATTCACTGAAGAACACATTTCACCCAGCGTGGCAGGATTCATGTTAAAACAACAGAGCTGCTGTCAATGGAAGATATACTGCAGACACAGCATTAACAATTGAGCCTAGACAAAAACACACACACTCGCACACACAGATMTGTCATCATCTTCAGAAAAATGCTCTTTGCATTGAAACAGCAGTGATCTGTCAATTTTTGGGAAAAGGCAAACATGATCTATTATAATTATTGTTAATAATAATAATAATAATAATAATAATAATAATAATAATTCTGTCAGTAAAACATTAGACTTTTTAAGAATTGCTTTATTTTTGTGCATTTTTTTTCCTAAAAATACTCAGTTTGGTTTCTTGTAATTGTTATTGTGCTACTTTGTATTGTTTAGGAGGTTTTATAAACTGGCATAAATTATCTTGGCTATCAGTAGACTGAACGCTAATTACAGGCTGTTCTTGCATAACAACTCTTCAAAAATAATTACAGCAATTAGTAAAGCAAAATAAAATGGCGGCATCGTGTAGCCTTCAGACGCTTCGTGAAAACGTCCTTGCATATACAAGTAGTTTATTCTCAGCAGGTTGAAAGCTATTTTTTGATACCCTTGCAGAGCTGACACATGATGTGTCCATTGTGTAGAGATGAAGTCACTGGTAAACTGTGAATACATCAACCATGAAACCTCCCGTCAGACAATGTAACCACCAAGCTAATTAAGCAGTCCATTTATCTTCTCCACAGTTCGTACCTGCTTTTCTTTCTTCTTTAGTTGAATTTCTTAGCACTTTAAAATTTTCCTCCCACCTGTTTCTTTTTTTCCACCCTCATCTTCACCTACCTCCACCTCCTACCACTAATGTTCCTCCTACTCACTCCTCCACCTTTTATCAGGCTTCGGCACTCTCATAACAGCGCTCTCTATTGCCTCGTCTCCCTCCTACGAACCGAGCACTTTACATGCCGCCATCTCACGATGTGTGTGTATGTGTGTGTGTGTGAGTGCGCGTCACACAGATGCTGCATTGCAGGCCTGTCCTCTGAGGGCCATATCACTGTAGGAGCCAGCGAGTCTGGGGATGCAAGTTCTTGTGTCTCCAAGTGTAACTGTGTGTGTGTGCTATGTTCAAACGTGACTTTCATGATGAATGTTTAAAGATGCAGGCTTACTGATGTCTAGTGGCATGTAATAGCCTGAAAGAAAGGTCATGTTAGGAAAAAAATAGTTTGACATTTTGATAAATATACTTACTGCAATTTTTTTTTTTAAGTTATGAAAGTTTGAGACCATTCTTGTGCATGTACAGTACAAGATGGCTTTCGTGCTGCTCACAGTACTGAGACCGCATTGCTGAGAGTTACCAACGATGTCTTCATGGCTGCTGATACTGGTTCTCCTTCCCTTCTTCTCCTTCTGGACCTCACCACAGCTTTCGACACTGTGGATCACAGTATCCTCCTCCACCGTCTTCAAGTGGAGGTCGGTCTCTGTGACACTGTCCTGGACTGGTTTAAATCATTCCTCTCCAATAGGCTGGGATATGTTAGTCTTGGCAGTGCCAAGTCCCAGACTGTCTGTGTTACCTGTGGGGTCCCTCAAGGGTCGGTTCTTGGGCCCCTGCTGTTTTCCCTTTACATGCTTCCTTTAGGTCAAATCATTAATCATCACAACATTTCTTTTCACTGTTATGCTGATGATACACTGCTGTACATCAGGACTGGAGCATCATCATCACCACTGTCATCTCCATCTTCACTCACTGCCCTCACTWCCTGCCTGGAGGAGATTAGGGCAGGGATGAGCCAGAACTTTCTTCAATTAAACTGCTCCAAAACCGAGGTCATACTGATCGGCACCCCTCATCAGGTTCAAACTTCAACTATAACAGCTATTTCCTTCTCTGYTCAAGACATCCCCCTCTCCACCTCTGTTACTAACCTTGGGGTGAGAATGGACTCTCATCTRACATTTGAAAATCACATCAAGCATCTGTTTAAAACCTGTTTTTTCCATCTATGTAATATCTTCAAACTTCGTCCATCTCTCACTTTTGCTGATGCAGAGAAACTCGTCCATGCCTTTGTCTCCTCCAGACTCGACTGCTGTAACTCTCTGTTTATCGGAATCCCTGGCAAAAACCTTCAGAAGCTTCAATACATTCAAAACAGTGCTGCCAGGATTTTATTGAGAGCTCGTAAATCTGAACACATTACACCCATTCTCCATAACCTCCACTGGCTTCCTGTCACCTACAGAATTCAATGCAAGACTGCTCTCATTACCTATCAGTGTTTACACGGAACTGCACCAGATTATCTGAAGGACCTTATTGTCTCATATTCATCCATCGGCTCCCTCCGATCACAGAACAGTAACCTCCTCCACCTTCCACGGACTAAATTAAGGACCATGGGAGATCGGGTATTCTGTGTGGCTGCTGCCCCCCGCCTCTGGAACACCCTCCCTGACTACCTGAGAGCACCGCAGTCATTGGATGACTTTAAAAAATGCTTGAAYACTTTTATTTTTAATCAAGCTTATTCCTCTGCATGATTTTATCATTGGTTTTAATTACTTTTAACAGAGTTGTTTTGTTTTTGTAGCACTTTGAGATTTTTGTTAATGAAAAGTGCGGTACAAATTAAATTCATTATTATTATTATTTATTAAGCCAGCAGAGYGCCTGATTAGCTTAGCATGCACAAATAAACACAACATTAAAAAATTATGATCTGTGCTTTGACCTGGTATGCAGTTCTATGGGAGTTAAATGAGTTTTTCTTCTTGAAAGTAAAATATTAGCAAATGAATGAGAAGAAATGAGCCTATTAACAGGTTCATTTCACACGGACTGAAATATGTATATATTAAAATTGTTATATCAGCTGTGAGATGCTGTTGAAGATGACTCTAATAGATAAGCTCCCAGTGGAGAAATGTGYGTTTAATGTAAAATGCTACTTTAAAAGCTTTACATTAAATGTGTTTATGAGTWTTGGCATAAAGGGATAACATGTGGATGAAGATAAGCAGCATTAAGTGTACTGAATAAGCCAGTAATGTGTGAACATTGTGTCTTGGACGTATGCTGCAATGCTCAGTGTATTTTAAAAGGGTTAATTCAGTCAACTTCATGATATGTTAATATTTATCAAGGGATAGTAGATCACACATATATCCTCTAAAGCAGGGGTTCTTAAACTTTTTGACCTCAGGGCCCAATTTGTTGAACATAAAAGTGACACGAGGCCCAGTCAGACATTACCAATGTAT